AACATGCCGAAACCCTCTCTCTACAAAAAATGCATAAGTTGGCCAGGCGTGGTGGCACATGCCTGTAGTCCCAGCTACTCGGGAAGCTGAGGCAGGAGAATCACTTGAACCTGGTAGGTGGAGACTGCAGTAAGCTGAGATCATGTCACTGCTCTCCAGCCTGGGCAACAGAGTGAGATTCCATCTCAAGAATAAAAAAATAACAACAAAACTAAATCTGATCCTTTAAAGAATGCATCTAAAAGAGCCCTGGACCCCTAATTTGTGATTTTTCCCTCCAGATCAAGGGTTACAAAACAGGCATCCTTCAGAATATATTTTGTTTGACAGGCAGAATGGCTTGTACTCTTTTAAAATGGAAAGCCTTCAGGAAGTACTTACTGGCTATCAATGACCCTACCAGCTTCCCACATTGTTACCTGCTGGGTTTGTGAAAAGAGTGACACCCCATTTTTCATATTATAAACCCAGTATTTACTTATAAATTTAGTTGTAGTCATGGAGCAAACATTTTAATATTATAAATGATGCTAAATCTTCCTAGTTATGTCTCTAATTTGGGAAAAATACATCAAACAAAAAAGTCTCATTTTCATAATACTTTCTTACATAAATTATGAAAGACATTTGTATATATATATCCTCTTAAAAAGAATGCTGTTGTGAGTAACCTGCAATCTGAGCTAAATAAACTATTCATATAGAAACCTGCTATATACAAGTCTTAGCTTCCAAACGGTGGCCTTCAGCTTTATTCATATATGTAACATGAAAATTCTCAACTATTTGAATTAAAGGGAAGGTGACATTAATAAGGCTAACAAAATAACAAGTAGCAAATGTTTTCTTCGAATCCTAAAGAATGAAGCAAAAAGGGAGATATCTTGTAAGACAGATTAAAAAAGAGGAAGAATTTCAAGTAAATGTGGCCTTGGACCTTGTACACTGCTACTCCCTAAAATTGCACAAGGTAAAGGCCACAAAATGCTTGTTCCTTCAAGGAAAGCAAAGTAGAAAACATAAAAGGAAATATAAAAATGTGCAGTTATGAGAGAAATTAAGACATGATGATACTAACTCCAGTTAAAAAACACCAAAAAAGCACTTTGGTGCTTAAAAAACACCAAAGAATAATAAATGAATTAAAAAGACAGTAATCTATTAGGTCTTTTTAAAGTTATACACAAATAAAAAACTAATCTCTAATTCTTTAGAGGTTTAAATTTGACAGAGAATATTTACCTTTGAATTTGTCTCGCTTTAAACAACTGAATCCCATCTAAATAAATATTTTAAAATTCTTAATTATGAAGGCAAGGTTTTTAGCTATGCTTTGATAGGGCTATATATATTAATAGTAAAGGTTTACTGCATTAATCTCATCAATATCATGGTTACTGCAATCTAGTTCATTTTATAAGCGTTAATCAATTTGGCCTTCACCATACTACATTATTGCAATGCCAACAATATTGGGTAAACTTTTCAAGACAATTGCATTGAAATGGTTATTTTGAAAGTTTTTAGTAACAGGAGGAAAGGGGAGAATTAAACACATTGAAAATTTGTTCCAACACAAAACAGAATGTCCAGGATCCTATATAAATGAAAGTATCAGCAAATAGGGTACTATCTTGGTCTATGAATGATATTCTCTACAATGGACTTACAAGTTTTTTAAATTCCACTAAGAAGACACTGGCTAAAGTTTATCTCTGGCATATTTCTAAAAGCACCTGTTAGTAGCTTTGCTATAAAACTGATTTAAGGTAGATATTTTTTTCAGTAGCATTTAGAACAACCCAACACTTGACAGAAATAGTTCAGCACAGCGTATTAAAACATAATTGTACAACGTTGTATAAATTAGCTGCAATTTTCAGTAGCTATGTAACAGAATTATAATGTTCTCCTAAGCCATATACATGTCTCATATATACAAGTCAGAGTGTTTTTTTTTTAATATTCTTCTCCAACTATAATGGGAGGAGAATCTGCCTGTATTATGTCTATTGGTGTTTGAAAAACGTGAAACAGAGCTCTTAGCTCAAGCTGACCTCCCCATGCAGCTGTGTTTACAATATCGTCACGGTACTTCTGAAACTATTCTGGAGTATACATATGTCCTGTATTAGGGTTTGTTAAAAATGGCAGAAAGTCTTCCACATGGCTTTACATATACTCAGCAGTCTGACTTCTTAAGGCAACCACAGTCAGAGCACAATCCTTTCAACTGATTTCCAATGGCTCTATACATACAGTGGCCATCAGATGGAATCTGTTTAATTTCTAACTGTCTAGCTGCCAATATTTGAGCAAGTTTTTCACTTTCCATATGTCTGGCTCCTGATAAGTTTCAATTTCAGTTTCAGCTACCTTTTTCCAATGCAGCTTTTTTCCCCCGTCTCTTTTGTGCTTTTGATATCCAAGGTGGCTGATTCTCAAGTACAAATTTGAAATGTTAAGAGCAACAGAATCTATCTTATTCTCCTTAGTAGTCAGCTTTGATTGCTCCAGTTCCTCTCTATGTTTCTGTTCCATTTCTTTTTCCAACTTAGCCACACCTTCAGTGAGTTGCTTCCTCTTCTTGTCATTCTTGGGAACCGCATTCTTCATACTGTGAACTTTGGCTTGCAACTCCTTCTCTTTGTGATGCCTTCTTACCAGCTGCTCTTCCTCATCAAGCTCTTCAGTCAAGACTGCCTCCGTAATGACCAAGTAGCCTAGCACACACGCTGGAAGAAACTGCACCATCTGCTCCCTTCCCACTTTTTGCTGTTTGGGAAGATCCTGGAGATAAAACTCTACAAAACCACATAGGCAAATAATAAAATGGGGACAACCTCAGATTTAGAAAACCGTTTACCCAGAAATCATACCCAGGCCTGGATTTGTGAAAGCCAGCATTCTGAGAGAGTCTTTCCTGAAACTATTTGATCACAGTTGTACTGTCATTTATTAATTACCACGGGAACCACCAGCTGTCATCATGAAATCTTTTATAGGCACACTGTAAATATTAAAAGAGCATATTAAAATTATACCTTATGCAGCAGCAGCTGATGCTATGTTATGAAGACAATATTAGAGAGCATGCAGAATTATCACACTACAACTCCCATGATTTCTATTCCTTACAGCTGCCCTGAAGCATGAAGCTGGGCCACAATTTTAACTCTTTAATCACAGAGGGGAGTAATTTGATTGATCATTTACACTGAAGCAAACTTTATTACTTAAACCAGGTTATGTAGTTAATTATAGAGATGCCTTTTTGTACATTTGCCAGTTAACTTTTTATTATAAAAATGAGGGCAGGAGGATTTTCTTTGAAGTTTCCTAGGGCAAGAAAAAGTGTTTCCCTTGTCTTATAGTTGAAATCAGTGTGTAGGAGTGGCTCCTAGGACCCACATAACATATCTGGCTTAGTTTAGACTGTGTGTCAAGTGCAATGGCCATTCTGGCAAGATAGGATATTTGTCTGATGTACTTTGTGACGTCAACCCAGCACTAACTCGAGGCTTATTTGGGTTGTCTCATAGGACCTGCTGCTTGCTCCCCCAAAATCTTCTCCATTGTCCCATCATAATGTCTGAAACTTGTTCTACTGTACTTAAGACAGACAACTAGATCCAGAACCTTCTGTTAAAATGCAAAATATAGATGATATTTTAGAAATATTGTTAATTATCTTAGGAGTGATTATAGTATTCTTATTATATAGGAGGATATTCTTATTTGTAGGAGATGCATGCTGGAGTATTAAAGCCGAAGTGTCTTGATATTTGAAATTTACTTTCATGTGTTCGAATGATACAAAAATATGTAATGAATACACATATACACTCATTCATATAAGTTGAGATATAAAGCAAATATGGCAAAATGCCAACAAATTGTTGGATTAAGGTAGAACGTATAGAAGTATTTTTAGTACTTTTTTCCACCTTTATTTGAAAATCTTCTTAATGAAAAAGTGAAAAAAAAAAATCAGATATCTGAGCATACTCCAAAACCCACTGAATCAGCATCCTTGGGTATGGAACCCAGAAAGAGGCATTGCTAGTAAGTGCCTAAAGTAAATTTTAGGCCCAGTAATAGTTGTAAAGTATTGAATTACAACGCTAAATACTGATGGAAGAATAAGTGTAATTACTATGTGATAAAAAGTGCAACTTAGAAGAAGGATGGAGCAAGATGGTAGAGTAGTACTCTCCAGTGATTGTCCCCATACAGAGACATCAATTTGAACAACTACCCACACAGAACTACCCACGGAATACCTTCACAAGAGCTAAGAAAAATAGATAAGAGATCACAGTGCCTGACTGTAGCACAATAATAAGAAAAGATGCATTGAAGAGGATAGAGGGTACAAAGAGCAGTTTACATTACTTGTGTCACCCCTTCCCAACTCCAAGCAGCAGAGCACAGAGACAGATACTGTCCACTTACAGGAAAGAGAAGAGAGTGAACTTAGGACATTCTCTTGGGCTCCAACACTGGACCCACAATTGTAAAATTCAGTACCATGAAGACTGCCCCTCCCCACAGTCTTTTACACAAGACCATTATCTACAGAATGTGTCTCAGCACCAGTCAGGTCTGTAATACCCCAGGTTTCAGGCTTGCATGGTAGACTCAATCTCTTTATCACCATCAGGCTAACTTTAGTGGTTCTGGGCTCCATACAGCTCTCAGCAGCAGGCCTCAGGCTTCTGATGTGCCCCAGCACTGCACCAACCACAGCTGGCCCCAGGCTTTAGGCAAAGCTGCACCAGCCACAGTGGGACCTGGATTTCTGGCAGGGCAGAAGCCTGCTATGCCAGCTGCATCTGTCCTGGGCTTCTGGTACACTCTAGCAGTGTGTCTGCTGTAGAACTTTGTCAAAAAAAGAAACAGTTTATGAAGACTGTAATAAGCACATGCTTCTTCAAATGCAAACACATCAACACATGACTACAAGGATTAAGAATAATCAAGAAAAGGCTGTACATGGTGGCTCATGCCTGTAATCCCAACACTTTGGGAGGCTGAGGTAGGTGGCTTACCTGAGGTCAGAAGTTTGTGACCATCCCGGTCAAGATGGTAAAACCCTGTCTTTACTAAAAATACAAAAATTAGCTGGGCATGGTGACTTATGCCTGTAATCGCAGCTACTTGGGAGGCTGAGGCAGGAGAATCACTTGAACTGGGGAGGCGGAGGTTGCAGTGAGCCAAGATCACACCGCTGCACTCCAGCCCGGGTGACAAGATCAAAACTCCATCTCAAAAAAATAATAATGATAATCAGGAAAACATGACATCACAAATGAACAAAATAAAGGGTCAATTACTGACCCTAAAGAAATGAAAATGCATAAACTGCTTGACAAATAATTCAAAATAATCATTTTAAGGAAGCTCAACAAACTGCAAAAACGGAGAATCAATGCAATGAAGTGAGGAAAACAAGTGATCGGAATGAAAAATGTAATACAGAGACTAAAATAATTTTAAAGAATCAAACAAAATTCTAGAAGTGAAAAATACAATGAAATAAAAAATGCAACATAGAGCAATAGATCATAGACTTGATCAAGCAGAAGAAAGAATCTGTGAACTCTAAGACAGAGTACTTGAAATTATGCAGTTCTAGGAGAAAAAGAATAAAACAGAATGGAAAAGCTTATGGGAATTGTGGGACATCAAAACAGCAAATATTCTAGTCAAAGGAACTAAAGAGTAAGATAAAAGAGCTGAAAGCTTGTTTAAAAAAAATCATAGAGTTAAACTCTCCAAATCTGGAGAAATATATCCAGGTACAGGAAGCTCAAAGGTTTCTAATCAGATTCAATCAAAATAAGAATGTGCTAAGACATATTATAATCAAACTGTCAAAATCCAAAACAAAGAGAGGATCTTGATAGCAGCAAGAGAAAAGACACAAATAACATATAAGGGAGTTCCAATATAGCTAGCAGAGACTTCTCAGCAGAAATCTTACACACAAAGAAAGAGTAGGATGATATATTCAAAATATGAAAGAAAAAAAAACCTGTCAATCAAGGATAATATCCCCAGCAATGCTGTCTTTCAGAAATGAAGGAGAGATACTTTCCCAGACAGACAAAAGCTGAGGGAGTTTATTGTAACCAAACTTGTCTTACAAGAAATGCTAAAAGAAGTTCTTTAAGCTTAAAAAAAAGAATGTCAATGAGTAACACAAAAATGCCTAAAAGCATAAAACTCACTAGTAATAGTGCACAAAATCAGAATACAGATGCTCCCCAAATTATAATAAGATTACGATATGCCCATTGTAAGTAAAAAATATTTCAGGTTAAAAGTGCATTTAATGCTAGCAACATAGCAGACAGTCCCTAACTAATAATAGTTCGACTTACAATATATTGACTTTGCAATAGGGCTAAAGTAACACACATTTTGTAGAACCCACAACCCCATCATAAGTCATAAGAAGATCCTCAACTTACAATGAGGTTATATCGCAATAAAACCATGAAAGTAAAAAAAAAAATGGTTAGTTAAATCATTGTAAGTTGAGGACCATCTCTACTCTAATACTGTAATAGCGGTGGAAAAATCATTTACATCTTTAGAATAAAGGTAAAAACTCAAAACTATTAAAAATGATAACAGCTACAATAATTTCTCAAGAGACATACAGTACAAAAAGATGTAAACTGTAACATGAAAAAATTGAAAATGTTGGTGGGTGGAGTAAAAGTGTAAAGATTTGTTTTGCTTTGCAATCAAAGTTAAGTTTTTATCAGCTTAAAATAACCTACTATAATTACATAATGTTTTTTGTAAGCTTCATGTTAACCACAAAGCAAAAAAACCTATGGTAGATGCACAAAAGACAAAAGGCAAGGAATTGAAACAAACCTCTAGAAAAAAAATCACTTAGCCACAAAGGAAGTGAGGAAGCCACAAAGCCACAAGTGAGGAAGGAAAAAACAAAAGACCTAGAAAACAATTAACACAATAGCAGTAGTAAGTTCTTACAATCAATAATTACATTGAATGTATGTGGATTAAATTATCCAATTACAAAACAGAGAGTGGCTGAAGTTATTTAAAAAAGCAAGACCCAGTGGTATGTTGTCTACAAGAAACTCGCTTCATCATAAGGGCACACATAGACCTAAACTGAAGGGATAGAAAAAGACATCAATAACAGGGGAAACTTCAGAAAATTCACAAAGACATGAAAAATAAACAATATAATCCTGAACAATCAATGGGCCAATGGTAAAATTAAAATGAAACTTAAAAAGTTTCTTGAGACAAATGGAAACGAAGACACAACATGGAATCCAGCAAAGACTGTTCTAATAGGGAAATTTAAAGAAATAAACACCTACTTCAAAAAAGAAGCAAGAACTTAAATAAACAGCCCAACATTATAAAACAAAAACAAACAAAGCTCAAAGTTAGTAGAACGAAGAAAATAATAAAGATCAGGGCATTATGAAATGAAATGAAAACTTAAAAGCAATAGAAAAGATCAACAATATTGAGTTGGCTTTTGGAAAAGATTTTTTAAAAATCTACAAACCTTTACCTAGACTAAGAAAAACAAAAAGAGGACTCAAATAAATACAACCACAAATTAGAAAGAAAATATTACAACTGATTCAGCAAAAATACACAATCACAGGAGTCTATTATGAGCAATTATATGGCAATAAATTGGATAATCTAGGAAGAATGGATAAATTTCTTGACACATACAACACATCAAGACTGAATTATAAAGAAATACAAAATCTTGGCAGACCCATAATGAATAAGTAGGTTGAATTGGTAATAAAAAGTCTCCCATCTGGTTTTTGTGATTAGTTCTGTTTATGTGATGAATTATGTTTATTGATTTGTGTATGTTGAACCAGTCTTCCATCCCAGGGATGAAGCCAACTTGACTGTGGTGGATTAACTTTTTATGGGCTGCTGAATTTGGTTTGCCAGTATTTTATTGAGGATTTTTGCACTGATGTTTATCAGGGATATTGGCCTGAAGTTTTATCTTTCTGTTGTGTCTCTGCCAGGTTTTTGGTATCGATGCTGGCCTCATAAAATGAATTAGGGAGAAGTCCCTACTTTTCAATTGTTTGGAATAGTTTCAGAAGAAATGGTACCAACTTCTTTTTGTACCTCTCATATAATTCAGCTATGAATCTGTCTGGTCCTGGGCTTTTTTCGTTGGTAGGCTATTTACTATTGCCTCAAGGATCTGGAATGAGAAATAACATTTGACCCAGCAATCCCATTACTGACTATATACCCAAAGGAATATAAATCATTCTATTATAAAGATACATGCACTTGTATATTTATTGCAGCACTATTCACAATAGCAAAGACATGGAACCAGCCCAAATGCCCATCAATAACAGACTGGATAAAGAAAATGTGGTACATATACACCATGAAATACTATGCAGCCATAAAAAGGAATGAGATCATGTCCTTTAAAGGGACATGGATGAAGCTGGAAGCCACCATCCTCAGCAAACTAACACAGGAAGAGAAAACCAAATACTGCATGTTCTCACTCATAGTGGGAGCTGAACAATGAGAACATATGAACATATCGTCAGGGAACAACACACAGTGGGACCTGTTTTGGGGGGGCAGGAGGAGGGAGAGCATCAGGATAAATACCTAATGCATGTGAAGCTTAATACCTAGGTGATGGGTTGATAAGTACAACAAACCACAATAGCACATGTTTACCTATATAACAAACCTGCACACTCTGCACATGTATCCCAGAACTTACAATAAAATAATTTTTTGAAAGTCTTCCATCAAAAAAAAAGAAGCCCAAGATCTGATGGTTTCACTGCTGAATTTTATCAAATGTTTAAAGAACTAATAACAACTCTTCTCAAACTCTTCTAAAAAATCAAAATGGAACAATTACTTTTGAACTCATTTTATGAGGCCAGCATTACCCAGATACCAAAGTCAGATAAGAACACAACAAGAAAAGACAACTACAGGCCAATATCACTAATTATATGGATGCACAAATCCTCAACAAAATACTAACAAACCTAATTCAGCAGCAAATCAAAAAGATCATTCACCATGATCAAGCTGATTTATCCCAGAAATAAAAGGATGGTTCAACATACATAAACCAATAAATATAACACATAACAGAATGAAGGACAAATCCATATGATGATTTCATTGGGTGTAAAAAAGTATTCAACAAAATTCAACATCTTTTCATGAAAAAACGCTCAAAATATTAGGCATATAAGGAATGTACCTTAATAAAATAAAGGCCATACCTAACAAATTCACAGCTAACATCACACTCAACGGAGAAAATTTGAAAGCTTTTTCTCCAGAGAGCAGGAACAAGGCAAGGATACCCGTTCTCACCACTTCTACTCAATATATTACTGGAGGTCCTAGCCACATAAATGAGGCAAGATAAATAAAGGCATCCAAATTGGAAAGGAAGAAATTATATGATTTTTGTTTGCAGATGATGTGATCTTACATATTAAAAAAACCCTAAAGACTCCATAAAATGCCATTAGAACTAATGAACAAATTCAGTAAAGTCACAGGATACAAATCAACATACAAAAATCAATAGCATTGCTATACAAACTATCCAAAAAGGGAATCAAGAAAACAATCGCATCTGAAAAAGCTACCACAAAAATAAAATACTTAGGAACAAATTTATCCAAGGAGGTGAAATTTTCTACATTGAAAACTGTAAAACATTGATGAATAATTGGAAGAAGAAAAATAAATGGAGAAATATTCCATATTCGTGAATTGGAAAAATTAATATTGTTAAAATGTCCATACTCCCCAGAGATCCACAGACTCAACACAATTCCTCTCAAAATACCAATGACATTCTTCACAAAATAGAAAAAACAATCTTAAGATTTGTCTGGAACCTCAAAAGACACCAAATAGCTAAAGCAATCTTGAGCAAAGAGAGTAAAGCTGTAGGCCTCACACTGCTTGACCTCAAAATAAGCTACGAAGTGTAGTAAC